ACAGTCGAGACGTCGTTCAGGGGCAATGTACACCGTTCAGATGGTCAATATTAATGAACCTTTCCATAACGCCTCTAACCATTTGAGACATCGCGTTGCACAAAAAAGGCACCATAGGGTTGTCCATCTGAAATTCGCATTGAAATGGCTCAACTTCGACAGCAACTGATTTAAAGAAAGCTAGCTTAATACCACGTTCAGACTACAGAGTTATAACATATTATAACGGTTGTCAAATAATTGCAACACAGAAACCACCATCAAGATAGTGCTATAACATGTTATAAATCTGTAGTCTGAACGTACTGTTAGCCATCAGCAGCGAGACATTCAAACAGTTTTTAACATCTTGGTAGGAAGCTGACGTTGGTTCAATTTTGTCTTTCTGGACGCCTTGAATAAATTTTCGTATTTGCGGAGTAATTTTGATTGCCCTCTGAACAGCAGCACTATTTTCCAACCATCGGTGACCGCAAAACTTTAGCGGGAATATGGTAGATCCAGAATACATCGTGATAAACGCTCGTCTTGCTGGTACATCTTTGAAGATATTGTAGATACCACGCAAATATTTGACAACATCCCAACTGATACTGTGAACACTATCCTTGAATGTATTATGCAAAATATACAGCCCACAGCTTCCCAGATCTATCAGCTTCTCGCCACCTTTTTGTACCTCTAGCTTCAATTTACATTGGGCCCATTCATGGACACTTGAAGCAACTTGTTCGAAGAGATACCGGCAAGGGCGTCCATAAACGCAGCGAGTAGATCTGATGCCCGGGATCTTCCCAAAAACTTTCACGTCATGCACTGATAAAATTTCAAAGATTGTTTTATGTATCCCACACATGATTTTTTGCAATGTGATCAACATTATTTTTTTCCCTGACCTACATTCCCTGACTTTCCAGATCATAAATAGAATTCCCGGACATTCCCTGACTTTCCAGGTTTTTCCAGGTAGTCGACACCCTGATTAAACTGCAAATCACTCGGCTTCCCGGGCTGCGATAGATTAATCTATGACGAACTTCAACCACGCAACTTCGAAGTCGTAGCACTGCAGGAACTTTGCTGGACGGGACAAAAGGTATGGAAAAGCGGGCATCGAACGGATACTTTCTACCAGAGCTGTGGCACCACCAACAAGCTGGGAACCGGCTTTGTAGTGCTGGGTAAGATGCGCCAACGTGTGATTGGTTGGAAGCCGATCAACGCGAGGATGTGCAAGTTGATTGAGGACCGCTTCTTCAACTACAGCATTCGGCAGGTTCGTGCCCACATATCATTTGTTCATCGATTTCAAATCCGCATACGGCACAATCGATCGAGATCAGCTATTATGCACGAGTACGGATTTCCGGATAAACTGACGCCATTGGTCAAGGCGACGATGGATCGAGTGATGTGCGTTGTTCGAGTATCGGGGACACTCTCGAGTCCCTTTGAATCTCGAAGGGGGTTACGGCAAGGTGATGAACTTTCGTGTCTGCTATTCAACATCGCGTTAGAAGGTGTGATCAGAAGAGCTGGGATAGACACAAGTCGCACGATCTTCAGGAAGTCCATCCAGCTTCTTGGCTTCGCCGATGACATTGACATTATGGCACGGAACTTTGAGACGATGGCGGAAACGTACATCAGACTGAAGGCTGAAGCTAGGCGGATTGGACTTGCCATCAACGCATCAAAGACAAAATACATGAAAGGAAAAGGTTCTAAATTGACGGTGCTCAGATTGACGGTGATGAAATCGAGGTGGTCGATGAGTTCGTGTATTTGGGCTCACTAGTGACCGTCGAAAATGATACCACCAGAGAAATTCAAAGACGCATTATGACAGGGAATCGTGCCTACTTTGGGCTCCGGAGGACGCTCCGGTCGAATAAAATCCGCCGCCGCACTAAGTTGACTGTCTACAAGACGCTGATTAGACCGGTGGTTCTCTACGGCCACGAGACCTGGACTATGCTCGGGGAGGACCAACGCGCCCTTGGTGTTTTCGAACGGAAGGTGTTGCGTACCATCTACGGTGGAGTGCAGATGGATGACGGAACGTGGAGAAGGCGAATGAACCACGAATTGCACCAGCTGCTGGGAGAACCATCCATTGTCCACATTGCAAAAATTGGGCGACTACGGTGGCTTGGCCCCTCGTAAGAATGCCTAACGACGACCCAGTGAAAATGGTTCTAGAAAGCAACCCAACAGGAACAAGAAGAAGAGGCGCGCAGTGGGCAAGGTAGATGGACCAAGTAGAAGGCAACCTGCGGACCTTTCGCAGACTACGAGGCTGGCGAAGTGTGGCCATGGATCGAGTAGAGTGGAGACGACTTCTTCGGACAGCAGAGGACAACAAGGCCTTAACCTGATTGGTAAGGTAAGTATGAGTAGTATTCAAAGGAATTCGGAAGGCGATGGAAAGTGAATTAACCACGAGGAAACTTAATGATGATATGACTACAATCCTGAAACTACACCTACGACTGAAAATCGATGGAATAATCAAATAGAATTTCTGACAAGAGCTGCAGCGGAATATGGATAGGAATTCCAGGGGAATATAATTCCTAATAGAACTAAACAAATCTCTAAAGGATTTTATAAGAATTTTGAAGAAATATCAAACAGTTTGGGACGAGGCGGTAAACTTGAGCATATTTCCAAAAAAGCTCTGAGTAGTGTTCCAGGAGATTCTGAAGAAATTTCCACGGGGATTCTAAGGACATCCTCCTCTAAAGCAAGGAAAATCCAAGAAAAAAATTTGATAACACTTTTCTAAATTCAACATAGCGCACCACTAGATTTCCACGAATATTCCAAACGAATTGTAAAAAATATACTAATGGAGACAAATTAAAGTAACTTCTTGCGAGAATTTTTAGGAATGCAAAGATATATGTAGAGTAATTTCAAGAGTTTTCTGGAGGGAATTCCTAAAGTGTTGTAAACTACGGGCTTTATGGAGATAATTTCTAGGGAATAACGGACAGAACCATACGATTATTCAGGGGAATCAGGGTTTTTCTTAAAAAGGCAATCCTGTTTCCAATATCTATAGCTTACACGCCATTTTGATTAGATGAGCATCGAATACGCTAAGAGATGAACTAGCCTCAGGCTAAAAATCTCTATAATAAAGAAAAAAAAAAAAAAAAAAAACATCGAATACGCTATTAACAAAAAGAGGCGTGAGTTTAAAAGGCTGAATTCCGGGACAAACTTTGTTCATTGCCCCTAAATTGAACAGTGAGCGTTCATAAGGGCGTAATTGCAATGATCAATTCTCTTCGTTGATTTTCTCTTTTGTTAATAACTCGCTTGTATTAACATTAACATCGTTAACAGTTGCTTTTGATAGCCAATACAACCTGTTACAGCACTACATTAGTCAAATTTCAGAAAATTGTTTCGTTTAACTGTTGCAATTTAAGGAGAAACTCGACGAAGAGAATCTATCATTGCAATTAGGCGCCTAATAAACACTCACTGTCGAATTATCCGATGTTTCATGGAAGTCGAAGATGGAAAAATAAAATCGATTATCTGTTTGAGTGGAACTGCTCTGAAGGTAGTACTGAGGAAATTAAAAAAAAAAAGAATTATTCAAGCTGAACAATGCATTAGGTCGTAAGTAACATTGACAGATTATCTTCATCGACTTTCGCTTTGCATCCTCACGGTCGTCTTAAGACATCTCCAACTATTTTCAGTACACAGATCAATGAAAGAAGCTATGATCTAGCTTTTTCTAAACACGACAAGAAACGATTCTGTACCTAAGTTATTAACGAAAGAGGGATTCGATTAAGAGAATTGATCAATGTTACTTAGGACCTAACGCACTGTTCAACTTAAATTATGGAGAAATAATATGTCAAGGTTTTGCGAGAATGATTCGGAATTAAAATATTTTTAGAGTGGATGATGCCACACAAAATCTGTGAAGAGTAACAATGAAATTGATAAAGTACCTAATTCACACATAGGAAGAAAAAAACACCATATGAACAAAATGCTTACAATTTCGATTCTAAATTGTTATTATCAATGATTCATTTAAATTAGTAACAAGAAGAAAATTGCAAATCTCCTTCTAGTAATTTAGTCGATGATAACATTGAAATAAAGATTTAAAACTCATATAATTCTTTAAAAAAATCTCACCGGTCCAAGTCGAGAATGATTAAATAAAAAAACATGTAGGGGAAACTGATCAAAGAACTAGATAGAGTTAACTTTTCACTTCATCAATCGTGGTTAATAACACCGGGTTGACATTTAAGCTTCAAAATAACTTCGAAACGCAATCCAGCATTAATATGAAAAATCTTGGAGAAATCCCCAGAATTCATCTAAAGTGCTTTTAGAATGCACTCTAAGAAAGCACCATCGTGAGAGAGACACATTTACTTTATAAACAAGCTGTATCTCTTTGTCAACACTTGCGAGTTATTGTCTCTGAACAAGAGCAAAGTGTCAATAACTAGAGGCAATGCAGTTGACAGCCATATGCCTTAAAATTCATATAATAAGACCTATCAAATCATCGTAATTTCATTCAATCATGTCAGAAAAGGAAAAAAAAAACACAACTCGCGCAACAACAAGCACAACGAACACCATCTAAATGCCGCCAGGTCGCATGCACCCCAGCGGCGTTGAGCGAACAACAAGCACATTTACACTAAAATTGCAGTCACGGGGTCATGCAGATGTATGTATGATGCCATGCAATTCAAAGAAGTAAAGCGAAGAAACGCAAACACACAATCTGCACTGGACTAGCGCTGAGATGAAGTAGTTCGTAAATTTGCTCAGGTGAACTCAAGCTCGCTCAAGTCGGATTATGTATGGTAGGGAAGGAAGGGATTGAAGGAGAAAAAAAAAATTAGATCATCACTCGCTACAACAATATACACCTACGACAGCGAAAACAACACCACGCTAGGCAATTCGTCCGTCGATCGTAGGACGAACAACGACGCACTTACTTGATCTCCTGCTTCCGGCAGCAGAGGCACGAGGCCAGGGTCGTGACCAGTGTTACCATGACGACCAACGACAGGGTGCAGTAGATCCAGAAGCTGCTCACAGCGAATTCCGCCAGCTGCAGCATCCCTCCTGCTGTTTGTCGTACTATTGGCACTTACGGGATTAAATTATTCTCCGTTTTGCTTCAAGCTTCAGAGAGCTCACCACTTTCCGGCTGTTTGGTTTGAATCACGGGCGGATGGTTCCTCCACGGCAACGGCGGCGTTGACAGTACTCATCGGGACTGCCGCGGTGGATTGCATTGGTCGGGTTTCACTTCACTATATTATCTTTCTTCTCTGTTATTTAGTTGATGATGGTAGTAGCTAGTCTCTTTGTGCTTGCACTGAACGGAGATGATTCACAACTGAGCCGAATGATGAGGCAATTACTATAGATCCGGGAAAATCACACAGCCTCTTCACACACAAATTCCTGTTGATTCAGCAGAAGAAGGGTTGGAATTTACTACAAAGTGAATCTAATTACGTTCTGGTGCACTTTGCCTCGGATGTCTTTTGCTTTAACCGTAATAGACGACGTGCTCTTCCGAAGGAAGTGCTGCCGTTCCGTGTTAGTTGATTGAAACTAGTTAAAATTTTGAATTTCCCGCATATTACCCTTCTAAAACATTCCACATTCTAGTTAACCTTCAACCCACAAACTGGCAGCACCACAATCCGAAATGGCAATAATCCGACACCACTGAAAAGGCATTCGTTTAGCACAAACCCGGGAGCACGATGGCCCCTTCTCTGCTTCCTCATCGTCCGGAGGCCATCAACTCCAAAACTAATACTCGCATTGTTGTGCTTTGCGGAAGGAAAAGGCCACAGCCAAAGCAAAACAAAACTTACAACCAGCTCTCAATGCTGTTGCTGCTGCTGCTGTATGTCCGTTCCCGCAGTAATACCTTTACGTGGGGTTCACTCACTGAGTTGTAAAAGGCAATCTCTCCTCCTCCGATCTGCTGCTCTGTTGTTGTTGTTGTTTAGGAGAGTTGTTTTTGGATACGGAACGGGGGCACGACGACGGGCGAAACCTTTCCCCCAAACCAAAACCAAAGCTGCTCTCAAACTTGTTGGCTGCTGCTTGTTAGGTGGTACGCCTCTATTGCTGTGCTGCTGGGGCGTTTCGCTGTCGTCGTGTCGTGAAAGAGAAAGGCCGTTCGTCCGCGCGTCAGCTACCTTCACCACACCAACCTTCTCGTTGTTGTTAATGCTGCCATTGGCATTGCACGGCAATGATGGAGTGGATGAATGGAGAAAAATTAAATCTAGCACAACTATTTTTCTTCACCTTTTCTGATCCGCGCGCACCGAGCAACGAACACACAACGCTCGCGAGTTCACCCTCACTGGCCTCCCTCTTTCCCTTGGGAGTTTGGATAGGATCGGATTGGCCCCCGTCTTGCACAAACACACACCGTTGTTTTTCTCGCGTTTCCTTCACGTACCCTATCCGAATGGCGCGCGCGAGTGGCCAGCGCGGGGTGCAGTATTAAAACACAATCGTTGAATTTTTATACACACTACATTAGCTTTTCGCTTTTTGTTGCCTTCTTCCACCCAGGTTGGAAACTCTCTCTCGTCAATTTTTTTTTATGCCCCTTTGCACTGTTGGAACCGGGATTTGAATGCACTTTTTCGGCTTGGTACTCGTCGGAATTCACTCGAAAATGGAATGTAACCGGGACGGAACACTAGCCCTGCCCGGGAAGCACATTTTTACGATGATTTTCACGAGTTTGCCGGAGGTTTCCGTGGGGAAAATTTAGCTTCCTGCTTGCCCGACGACGAACGGAGTGAAACGCGATCACGGGAAATCGAAAAAACATTAGACGAATGCCTTGACGTTTCACTCCAGCCAACAATACGAAGCGAGAGCGGAGAGCAAATCAAGGCAATTTAATGTTGAGGTGAAAAATCACAACAGTCATATTGTACTAAAACTTCCACCTCAAGGAATTCCGCACGTATTTTCAAGATTAAATCTTTCCTATCCAGTTTATTGTAATGTTATAACTGAAGCTTTTGAATTGGAAAGCGAAAAAAAAAGGATTCCTCGCTGCCGGCATTCCACTTTCCCGCGCTGCTTTGCCAACAAGCTGAGAATGTAAGATCACCCGGGAGTACATGCACCTTGATCGATCTCTCGCGAATTCGCGAGAGCCAAATGACAGATTCGTGGAATTTTAGTACAATAGAAGAAACGTGCGATGTTTTTTCAGAGTAGGGACGTTCATTATGCGTCGCGTTTAGCTACACGGAGAAACGAAACACTTAAAATTAAGTCTTTCGTACTCATCTTGACACCTGAGTGAAACCAGTCAAAATTTAGTGTTCTTTGCGAAGAATCCAAATTTGAGTATTTTGCAAAGACTTCGTTTTGAGTAGAATTGAATTGTTTCAGGAAGAGTAAATGTTGGATAAAAACTACACAAAACCGGGTTTTCATTATAGAAAATTTAGTTGAAAAGGGGATTTTTCAGTTGTTTTCTATATTTGTGATGAGTACTAAAAATCAATGTTATGTTCGGCTTTATTTATCTTTATTACAATAAAATCTATCAACAGGGACACCTGAATAAGCAATAAATCACAACCTACTAAATCCATCGTGTTGAGTTGGTTGACCGGGTAAAATTCCAAATTTGACCATTTTCGTTGGATGCACGGTTGGCTCCCGATACCGGCTGGTACACTCGAGGAAACGTAGCAGACCCATAAATTCAGCCTAAATGATCAGTATTTGTGAAAAAAATAAAAAAAAAGAAGCAAAAATTAATCATCCTGAAAACGGGATCGAAAAAATAATATGTCAATTATCCGCTGCCTTCGGATGCTGGTTATATTCCTAACAGTGGAGTCATCGGTAGCTGGAGGTGGCAATTATGCCCACAATATACGTTTTGGCCCGCACCTAAAAAGGAATTATGTTTAATTCGCTGCCACATTCCGGGAAATCTATCACGTACTGTTTAGTAGAACCAACAATCAATACGAAACTAGAGATTTTAAATTGGCTCACTACTTGACTAGCCTATTGGTCCCAAGCAAACGTTTAACGTAACACATTTTAGTCGAAATTCTAGTACAACACAATGTTTGTTTTGATTCACTATGAAAGTTTGACAGATAAAATGAGGGGTTATTGGATTTTCCTATGTTTCGAGGGGTGAATCGATTAGCTTGGGACCGAAAATAGTACCAGAGCTGAGCCAAAAAGTTGAGCACGTTTCTTCGGGACCTACTTGTCTTAGAGTTACCTCTATGGTATTAGACAGTTTAAAAAAAAAAAGATGTCCGTCATCTTGTTTTGCAAAATGACGGTGGACATCGAGTTTTGACAATACGTCGTCTTGGAACGAAAGACGAACACAAATGGTTGGGTATTTGACAGTTTTTCAAAATGGCGTTCAACGTCGATCCTCTACAAGTCGTTCCCGTTTCGGAAATATCCATATTGTGGGTATTTGACAGTTTTTTAGAAACTCTATGTCGTCCTTGTACCAAAAATACCCATATTTTAGGATATTTAACAGAATTTTCTTAAACCAACGGCCGCCATCTTGGATTGCGAAATGACGTCTAACATCAATTTTAAACCTCTACACGTCGTCACCGTTCAGAAAATGCCCATATTGTAGGGTATTTGATAGTATTTCAAAAACATCTTGGATTCCAAACAGGCAGCGGACATCGAATTTTGACATCCACACGTCGTCCTTGTATCAAAAATACCCATATTGAAGGGTATTTGACAGAACTTTCACAAAACCGATGGCCGCCATCTTGGATTCCAAAGTGGTGTCCAACGTCGATTTTCGTCGAAAATTAGCTCACTACCTGACTAGCCTATTGGTTCCAAGCAGATCGATTAACGTACCCCATTCTAGTATAAATTCCAGTACTACAATATGTTTGTTTTGATTCGCTATGAAAGTTTAATAGATAAAATGAGGGGTTTGTGGATTTTCCTATGTTTCGAGGGGTGTGCCGATTAGCTTGGGACGGAAAATAGTACCAGAGCTGAGCCAAAAAGTTGAGCTCGTTTCTTCGGGACCTTCTAGTCTTGGAGTTACCTCTATGGTTGTACCATAGAGGTATCTCTAAGACTAGAAGGTCTCGAAATAACGTGCTCAACTTTTTGGCTCAGCTCTGGTACTCTCTTCGGTCCCAAGCTAATCGATTCACCCCTCGAAACAGAGGAAAATCTACTAACCCCTCATTTTATCTGTCAAACTAATGTCCAGCCAATGTCGCTGCATGAGAGTCACAATAAGCGATTTTGTCATTTATCTCACCCACTCTTCGCTCTTCACTCTTCGCGAAGAGGCGATCAGAAAATCGCTCATTGTTGCTCTGTCAAAGCTAAATTTGCAGGTTTTATGTGTCAAACACAAACTTTAAAATGTTTTCTTGTTCCTTACACATACAAAATACCATCATAATATCTTATTATTCCATAATTTCCTAAAACATTTTTTTAGCCAAAATGAATGGAAGGCCCTGTTGCCAATCGCTTCATTATGTGCCGAGTTCCAGATGATAGCTAGTTCAGCGTTTTCAGTAATCGTCCGTTTCAGCCTCTGCCCTTTTTCTATACTGATCGCACAGTGCTCATAGTGTTGTCGATTCCCATTCCAAGTACACCGCTCGTCACCGATCCAATTCTGGTGGGTTTTTCTGCAGTGCTTCGGATCCGTGTTTTGACCGGGCAGCTCTTCCATCTCTCGCTGCAGCAGCCAGTTTAGATCGAGGAGCAGATTTCGTCTGGTTCTTAAAATATTACAGTTAAATATACGTTTCAACATTTTTTCCTCATATTTACCTTAAAAATATGCAATTGTGCTCCTGGAATCTCAAAATCCTATACATACTAGTTTTTCGATCACAAACTATTTTTCGGTTTTCATTTTGAAATTCCATTCTCCATCGAGTGTATACTACACTGAACCAATATGACATATTCCTGTTATGTGGAAATCTTATAAATTTGCGCTATAAGATAATCCATTGAAAATGATATGATTGAAAATGTGTCAGGTAAATTCTATATGAATATCTGATACATTTTCAATGCTGATAATTTCGTAAGTTTTATATGATCGTCATATGATAAATGAAAATCGGTCAAATTATAATAATGAACTGAAATGGATTTGAAACCCATAAGCATAAGCTTTACTTTTTACCACAATATAATATATGTGTAACAAATCAATCTAAGTAAAGTTTATGTGATAATCACATGAAATTTACTTCTTTTTTTAACACATATATTTAATCGATTTCTAAAAATAAATCGAAAAATAAACATCAGGCAATGGGAGCTTTCACAGTTGTCTTTTTTTTTATTGTAGCTGATTTGGGATTCGATCCAGAACTGTTGAGGTGTGAATGCATTCGGTGTCTGCGCTCGATTCCACTGGGCCACGGCTGATTTCAATATTGAGCTCGTTCAATTAGCACGAAGTAAGAACAGCTCTCCCGACATGGAATGTAGTGCAACGTTATGCTCGTTTTGCTAGAGTGAAGAAAAATAACAAATTTATGCTCCGTTTCGGTGGTTTCGTGTATTCAAATCTTTCTTAATGCTCCTGTGTGCAATAAAACAACGACTACATTATATGAGTTCATGGAACTGGTTCATGAAGTTCGGGTACTAGTGCTGGAATCTGAATTAGCCGTGTAGAAGGCTTACAATTAGAATCTTAGCAAAGTAAATATTGCAGTAGAATCATTTTTTTATCTCAATACATTCTTTTCCGCAACCCCTTATCTAATGGAACAATAACAAACAAAGATTATTCTATACAGTATCATTGTCGTTAGCAACAATCATGTAAGATGTATTTAATTGGGCGCGATATTCATCCAGAAAACCATGACAAAACAAATGTTTGCTGTTGGATTTCTTAAAAGGCAAATCAATATGACTATATAATGATTGGGATAGATCTGTTTACAATCATTAAACCTCAAAAATCAAAGGAAGCTATTCCAATGAGATATACATGTTTTACTATACTGCAAACTTAAATGACTGTCCAATAGTTTCTACATGGATGTTAACACGCGACATATCAAAAAACGTCAAAAGTCGTTAAAAGCAATTCCAATAAAATATACATGATTATCTTATAAGATATATCTTTTAGTGAGCAATATTCATCATGAAGACAGGTATATGTTACTGAATTTTCTCATAGTGCAAACTTATATGATTTTCCATTAGTTTCTAGATTTCTGTTCTCTCCCATGACATATCAACAGTTTTTCACCATGAAATATATCAGACAATATTCAAATACATCTTACCTATCGCTAACCACATTCGAAGCAAAGTTTTATCAAGTACTAAGTATGTGAAATTACGATAGAAATCATTCCATACCCGCATAATCGTGAACCATTAATTGACCTTACCGAAAATGGTTAAAAATTGTTTATAATCCCTGCTAAACATCAACTGAAATGGTTATGGAACTTTACATGAACGTTTAATGATAAAGTTTGAACCTTATGTATTATGGTTTGTTGGAAGTGGACCTTACAAATAATGGGTTGTTAAGAACCATTACCATTCAAAATTCTTGTTTTCTCCATACATTTTCGGAAAGAGAACTATATTAGAACCTTTTAACTTATGGTTTGAGAACATTAATGGTAATGGTTATGGTAGTGAGTAAAGTCCATTAATGGTTTTGTATTATCGCTCAACTTTACGTGGAATATATCGTGAATTGGTAATCAGTAATTTACAGGCAACCAATTCACGATATATTCCACATAAAGTTGATC